GATGTATTCTCGGATATGCTGAAATACAAATTATCTAAGCCGGCCTAATGGTGATTTTTTGCGCTCTGTTCGCATTTACAGCCAGGGAAACGAATTAAAGTTGAAGAAAACAACGGTATTAGGATTGACTTTTTGCAAGTATTTGTTTGTTTGTGTGTATTTATTTAGGTATTTTCTGATATATCAACATCGGAAACTATTATTTCTGCATGATGGTCTTTTAAGCAGCAGGTCAAAATGACGCCTTAGTAAGAATACCAGGGAAGCCATTACGACCACGCATTTGTGCCGTTAAGACGTTTTTTTGCTAAAAGTTTCCACTACTTTACACTTTTCTGAGTGCAAAAACAGCGACCGGAAGTTTTAGTTGTTTTGTCTGATTTTCGAACAGATTTTCCAAATGAAATTTTGCGTGTCTATAGGTGAAAAGTAAGCGAATATGGAAATTAAATGTAAGTTTCCATGGTTGCATATTAACAGAAAGCATCGTCCTAAATTACAACTTTCCATCTAGCTCGGTTCTCGAGGCACCCGATGACATAACACCAGCCAGAGCGAACGGAAAAGAAACATAATGCCTGCTGCATGCACAGATGTAGACAACGCGTCCACATTCCATTCAGTTTAGCGGGTTAAAGCAATATCCCAGATGTCGTTACAGAGGTAACGAACGGAGCCAGTACTATCCGAATATGGGCTGGTAACAGAGGATACCTCAAGCAGTTTGGGAACCATCGTGTACGCCCGAGTGGCTCCAGTGTTCTACAAAACAATGCATTACTAATATCAGGTTGAAACTTCCTTGGCCGTTGTGATAAACATTTTGCAGTGCCATTCCGTGTTACCGTGTAATCTTAGCAATTTGCTTACTGCACCTTTTTGTTGACAGTCTTATGTGGGCATTTTATCTCGTAATCGATGCAGTATTTGAATAGTTCCTGCTGAGTGCTGGATGACCGCTCAATAACGTCATGGCAGTAGTGGTTGTAACGATCTTCGTCCTCGTCACAGAATGGGTCGTTAGTTTCGGTGCTTGCTGATGATGCCTCGTGCAGCGGGAGTTCGCGCGTCGACGATCGAAATACTTCTTTTTCAGCTACTGGATCAGCAAGCAATCGGTTGAAAACTCTGCTACCAGGATCATCCTGCCATAGAGTTATTCAAAAATCGGCTTATATTCTAAGCGTTATTAGTTAGAAAAAACAACATATATACCAAGAAAAATAATTGGCCAACGCACAGGCTGCCGTGCGAAGATGCGTTTTTTGCATAGCTCACTGCAGATTGTTGTTGCTAACGGCACTGATTTTTCCGGCAGATGCTTGATTTAGCTAAAAC